CATGCTGGCAACCCGTGGGGCTCCTCTGCCTGGGAATCTCCTGGTCTGTGGGCAATAAAGATCCATCTGGAAATGCGGCATCCACTCACCGTCTGCGCTTTCACTGGGAGCTGCAATCCTGAGTTGCTCCTCAAGGGCCATCTTGGATCTCAATCCCAGAACACTCATTTTTAAATTACCTAATCTATCCTTGGGGAGGAAGGCCATTGATGATGTTTGACGAGAAGATGCTCTTGTCTTTCTGGCTTAGAATGTCTGTTTTCAGTGGTATACTGTGAAGGTGGCACACAGGGGAGCATTGCAGAATGGCAAACGTTGTCCAGTGTCTTTGGGCAGAACCACATCATAATATGTTTACTGCCTCCATGTGGGGGTGGTGAGGACACTGAAGTCATCGAGAACCACAGCCACACATCTGCTGTAACTTTGAGGATCAAGAGGAACCTGCAGGAAGCTCCTTGGGAAGCTCTACTCTGTTCCTTTTGCTTCTTCTTTAGGAAGCAGGGAGTGAGCCAGCCACTTGGAAAGGAGGTGTGTGTGTACTGGGAGAAGGGGGCAGGAGCCTAGTTTCTTTGCCTTTGGATCTTTTAATCCCAGCACCGTTCCTTCTATTTTAGAACGGAGGGATTAGCCTTTCTGTAATAAAATGGCCTTTTTTTCACTTGAAAGTTTCCAGTTGAAGATTGTCAAGACTTAACTTCAAAGCCCTGTGAATTACTCTACCCCTTAAAATAGACAAGAGGAAATTAGAGATATTGCTATCACCTGTCCATCTGATTGCCCAAGTTTCTAAGTCCTAGATGCAAGAGCATTTTTTTCTAGACTTCAGAGCCTGTTCACCTTGTATTACTTCACTTATTCCTTCTCCAAAAGCTCTTGGGTCTGGCATAGGCCCTTATGCTGCAGCCCTCTGCCTAAGCTGTTGTTGGGTGTGGTAGTGGGAAGGGTAGGGAAAATAGTTTATCCCACAGGCTGGCCTCATGGTGCATTATGTCTAAAAGCTAGTGAGACCTTCAACACTGCAAAGAGTGACCTGCTTGCTCTTGTTGGCACATCTGTCTCCCACAGGAGTGCCTGACCTACCCAGCTTTGAGATATATTAAAGGCTTCTAAAACGGACATCAAAGAGGGGGGTGGGAGTTGGAGTGGGTAGAAAAGCCCAACTCACCATATTCCATTCAATATTGGTAGTAAGTATTAGTTGCATTTTCAAGGGCCAAAACAACACCACACACATACATACATACATACATACATACACACACACACACACACACACACACACCCCTAGACACTTAAGCTCCTCTTTAAAGAGCATAGGATAAAGGTGGCTTATGCTCTTCTCAGCATACCACATTAGCAGTGATCCAGGTAAAATAGGCTTCTCTCCATGGTAGATGGAGGTTAATGGTAAATAAATAGTGGTGAATCAGGTAGGCCTGGTGTTAACTTTTCTCCAACTTCCATTTGCTGACACCTGAGACATGAGAGTATAACCCCAGAGAAACCATAGGATGTGGAATTGCCACCAGGGCCCGAATCTCTGGGTCTTTTCCATAGTGAGGACCTGGCTGGTGAGGGGCACTTGGCCTTGTTACCAAACCTGTGTCTTTGTTTGCTCATTTTTTTCTCCATTTTTTTCTTGTCAATTCTCTCTTATTAGACTTACTTTGTCTCTTCTTTCTTTTTTTTTTCTTTTGAGATGAAGTCTCACTCTGTCACCCAGGCTGCAGTGCAATGGTGCAATCTTGGCCCACTGCAGCCTCTACCCCCTGGGTTCAAGCTGTTCTCCTGCCTTAGCCTCCCAGGTAGCTTGGATTACAGGCATACACCACCATGCTCAGCTAATTTTTATATTTTTAGTAGAGACGAGGTTTCATTCGCCATGTTGGCCAGGTGTATCTCATACTCCTGACCTCAAGTGATCCACCCACCTCGGCCTCCCAGAGTGCTGGGATTCTGTTAGTTTGGCCCACCTTTCTTCTTTACTCATACTTCTGTCTACCTGGAAAGACAAATTATTAACCTTTTAGAAGTCTGAGATTGACCATTGAACCAACTGTTAGGATCAACTAAATGGAAGTCATACAGGGGCTTATGGGATTAACTTTTTCAAGGCACCCTTTAAATGCATCTGTGGTTTCATTTTGTTAGTACTAGAGGAATCCAACTTCTTAAAAAATTAAAGAGAAACATTGAATAATAAACTGAAAAAAAGAAATCTTGATTCCACCATTGTCACTCAGGTATCTTTTTCCCTGATGCTTTATATTTAAGATGTAGTCTCCTTTTTTAAGCTGTAGATTTTGCTAAGCTTCTTAAACTGAATTGGCTGCAAAACAACCAGGTTCTCTCTATTTCAAAGGAGATGGAAAGTACTTGATAGAACAAGGCCAGTCTTTTTGGTTGCTGTCCAGAAGTGAACTGACCCAGTTTCCAAAATTGTCATCTGTTTTCTGAGGTGTTTTCTGTTAAATGGTCTTGGGGTGTGTGTGTGTGTGTGTGTGTGTGTGTGTGTGTGTGTGTGTTTCTTTTGTGGGCGCGTATTGTGTTTATTTTTTATTTGTGGTCTTTCACATGCTTTAATTCCATAGTGTCTTGAAGTGAAGTCATTTCAAGCCCAGGGTCTGTTGCTTGTTACAGCAGAACCAAGAACAATTCTTTTACCTCTCTGAGTCTGGTTTCCAAATTAGGAAAACTACCACCCAGATTGGTATTAGTATAAAATGAGAGTGTTAATATAAAAATAAATTAGTGCATTGTACGGTTTGAGGTACTATACAGCTGTATAATCTTAATATTTTTTAAAAGATCTACAACCCTGGCATTAAGAGATTTTCCTTTTTAAAAGAACTCCAAAGGCAGCTGCAACAATTATTAACATTGTTTTTAAGACCCCACATCTAAAAGCCTGCATCATCCTAGGCCCTGTGAGTGAGAGCAAAGAAAAAGCTATAGTAATACTTATTTTAAAATGTTCTGTGTGACTAATATTTTCCCTCAAAGGGTTTTTAGCCTGATTTGGTTGTAAAACAACATACATGAAAATAACATAAGAACAGTTGGGCTGGGGGACAGGAAGGGATTTGTAATCAGTTTAGTGCAAGCTATTTATCCAAGTTCTGAGAGTACAGGGATTGTGGCATGATTGGAGCTGGGTGGGGTTCCTCAGGGAAATTATGTTCAAGAATCCTTGTCTGTTTGTTATTATCTTCTTGTGCCCACCTTTCCTGTGTTGATACCGATGTGTACATAGAAATGGAATTGTGACATGAGGCATCTCTGCTAGGCATTTAGGCAAGCTTTCCAGTTAAGTGCTAGGCTGTAGTTTTTAAATGAATTGATACATACATTGAAAAGGAAATGCATGTATAAAGTTCTACTTTAAAAGTAAGAAATGTATTAGCATCTGCTTCTAGAAAGTGAAAGATTAAAAGTTATATGCATTATTTTTTCAGTCATTTTAAGATCGATTAGAATTAGGTATTGAATTTTCTCGACTTTGAAGCCGTGATTACCTAGGCATCATGTACGTGTGGCAATGTTTGGATGTATTCATACTACAAAGTTGGAATTCCAGGATCTCTCCATGTTGTACATTATTGTTAAAATATGCTACTGCTATGACTAAATGTGGTATTTTCTTTGGAATCTGTATTTCAAATAGCCAATGAGTGATTTGCAGCTTTCTCTCCCTATCTTCTGATATATAAAAGCAATGTAGTAATATTATGTTCACAGAATAGTAATGTGCATGGAGTAGGAGTTTATCTTTGAAAATGTAAATTGCAAAATCATTTCCTTAGTGAAAGATGTTAATATGGGGATTACAGCTTTGGGATTCTCCATGTCCTGGCTTTATTAGCAGACATGTCATTCTCCAATATAGACAAAGGCTGATTACTAAGAACTAAAGATGGTTATGGTGGGCTAGTGGGATTATGAGTACCTTTTTCTTTTTCTATTGAACATGTTCTATATTGTTACTATATTATAATTAAAAATAGTCTGTTTTTCATTTTTAAAAGCACTGCTGTTCCAATTAAACCTCCAATCCCATGTATTATGGGAAGGTGCAGATATATAAATCCTTCCTAGATGCAACTTAAAACACACACACACACACAAATTGACCATCAGGAACCTTACAACGTTTTGCTCTCTTCTCAATTCCACCTGTGAACACCTTTCAGAGGAAAAGCTACAAATCCATTTAAGTGGTTGAAGTTATTTTTAAAATATATTTTTCCCTAATATTGGACAAATTAACAAGCTTGAAACTGGCCAGGTGTGGTAGCTCACACCTATAATCCCCCAGCACCTTGGAAGGCTAAAGCAGGAGGATCACTTGAACATAGGAGTTTGAGACCAGCCTGGGAAAGATGGAATAACCCTGTCTCTACAAAAATACAAAAATTAGCTGGACGTTGTGGTGCATACCTGTAGTCCCAGCTACTCGGGAGGCTGAGGTGGGAGAATCACTGTAGCCCAGAAGGTTGAGGCTGCAGTGAGCCATGATGATGCCACTCCACTTCAACCTGAGCAACAGAATGAGCCTCTATGTCAAAAAAATTAAAAATATGAAGAAGAACCTGAAACTGTACAATGATACTTTTGCTCTACAATGTAATTCATATGAATCAAAAACTTCATGTAAAGAATAAATAGCATGAATAAAAACATGGTGGACTCTTTTTCTATTTGGGGGGAGTTGGATTGTTCAGTTCATTTGGCCCCATGGAAAGCTGACCTCCTGAATTCCCTCATGGTACACTGCCTTCCTAGCAACTCTGTGGAAGTTCTAGCTGTTGAGTCGTGGCAGCCCCCATTTGTACTAGTTGCTTTTCAAATTCTCAATAGCCACATCTGACCAGTGGCTACCATGTTGGACAGTGCAGACTTGGATCATTGCCATCATGGCAGCAAGTGCCGCTGGACATGGTAGTGCTCTATGCCTCCCTGAGCACCAACTCATGGATTTCTTCTTTGTTTATACTCAGAGAGCAGCTGTCTGCTTCAGAAAGTGAGGGCTCCAGGAATGAGGAGAATCATCACGAGCTGCCTCTCATTGTGGCATGTCTGATCCCTTGCTCCCGTCCCTGTAGCATGAACAAGGTAAGAGGTACTTCAAGGAATCAGCACTTGTATTTTCTTTATGGTACTATGATTTTCTGGAATGTATATGTCGTTCCATGATGTGAAGAGGTTGCGTCTCCTGCCAGCTGCATTCCAGAGTTGAAGAGTTGTGTGATCCCCACAAGCAGGGTCACAGGTGCTGGTGGCTACTCTGTGGCTGTGTAGTCCTCTGGAGGTGTCATTTATACTTGCCAGGGGCCTCTGAGCAGCTGAAATACTGGACTTTATTGGCATGAATACTGGAATATTGAGGCTCTGGGGCTATATTTCCTGGGACTAAATATCACCTTTTTCAGATGCTAGTGTCAGTGACCCTAGGCAAATGGCCTGACTTCTTGGTTCCTCAATTTCTCCATCTGTAAAATGCTGCTAATAATGATGCCTACCTGACAGGATTACTGTAAGGATGAAATGAGTTACTATGTGTATCAGTGCTTAATATATAGTGCCTGTCCACATTACAAGCACTTGATAAGTATTTGCTTCTGCTGTTTTTAATGTTGAGGACATTATTATCCCTTAGACATAGTTGCAAGAGAGTATAAGGTGCATCTTTTTCATTTCCAGTGGAAAAGGTGTCACATTTTGATTTATTCCCTCATTAAATTGGTGATTACCAAATGGGCACTACAGGGATAAATGATGAATACAACTTGAGACATGCCTTCAGTAGGTGGCAGAGTATCTTGGGGAAACATAGTGAGTGTGTTCTAATGAGGTATGTACCAGAAGCTCTGGAGGCACAGAAGAAGGAACATCCAACTCTGAGGAATCTGGGAAGGATGATGTAGAGGAGAAAACATTTGAATAGGATTCTGTATGGAAATGGTAATTTCCTGGACAGGGAATGTAGGGCAAGGCATTCCAGGTAAAGGAATGTGTTTAAGCACAAAAGCAAATGAGAAAGTCTGGCGTGTTCAGAGAATAGCAAAAAGTTTGGTATCACTGGAACAGGGTTTCTCAGCTTTGACACTTGATATTTGGACCAGGTAATTCTTTTCAGTGAGAGACTGTCTTCTGCATTTTAGGATTTTTTGTAGCATCCCCTTGCTTTCATTCTAATTGTAACAACCAAAGATGTCCCTAGATTATTGCCCAATATCCCATACGGGGACAGAATTACCCCTTGGTTGAAAACTACTGTGCTAGTGGAAGGTGATCAGATATAAGCCCAGAGAAGGAGGCAACGGCCAGATCCTGTGAGCCACTGAAGGATATAAAACGGGAGAGACCTGTTTTGTGGGCCTGTCATATGGATTGTGGTAGAGTTGGATAGCACTGTTCGATGGTTTGGTTGTGAAAATAGTATATGGAATCTCTAGACTTTAGAAAGCCCATTTAATTTGTGGAAATTCTTCAACTAAATGACCCTCTTCCAGTGACTTTTCTCGTGACCATTTGCTCAGCCTTCTCATGGGCAGGAAGGGCCCTGAGAGGCTTCAGTGGTTGGAGAAAGCTGGAAAAGCCCTCTGTGCACTTACCCTTTTTCCCTAGATACAAGTTTTGTGAAAGACTGTGGCTGCTTTACACTATCTAAAGAGACCAGCAAAAAAACAAGCAGTTGTTTTTTGAGGAATTTTCCTTTGGCTGAGCTGAGCCAAAGAGAAAGAAACCAGTGCTGAGTTTTCTCACTTCAGCCTCACCCCAGCTTAAACACGTGGCTTGAAGCTGCCTTTGAGAAGTGAGCTTTTGGAATACTGGAAGGTAGGCATGTGTTCTGCCCCAGGGTCCTGACTGGATGGGAGACTGTCCCCTTGGTTGAAAACTACTGCGCTAGTGGAAGGTGGCCAGATAGAAGCCCAGAGAAGGAGGCAAGGGCCAGATCTGTGAGCCACCGAAGGGCATCCTCCCATTGGGAGATCCAGCAAACCTTTTTTAGCTCTTAGTATTGGGAGTTTGTTGTATTGAAATGCTAAGGCAACTCTTGAGAACTCTCATATCAAATCTCTTATCAGCAAATGTAGCTTGCTGTGACAGCTCTGCCCTGAGTTTCTCCAGGGCAACCCTACACCTAATATGGATTTACTCTCCGTACACAGCTGGGAACCAGACACCTCAGAAATGTCAAGTGTCTCCGTAGGTGTGTCTGTTGCTTGGGATATTATGTTCTGCCTGAGTGGCTCAGTACATGCTTTATTTTATATTGTTTTAATTGAAAGTAGTGATTAAGCATGATGTGTCACCTTCACGGGTCAGCATTTTTCTTATGGCTTTCTTGGCATAAGACAAAGAATAGGTCACTCTCTGGGGAGGAAACAGCTCTTCTCAGCATAAATAAAACCAGAGAATCTCCTCTTCAATTATGGTGTTAATTGGAGTGCTAGAAATATTGTTGTGTGACTGACATTCTAAGTGAATTTGTTCCTAGAAAATTGGAGACATTTGAATTGTGCACGCTCCTCTTCTTTAGACACACACTGTAATACTCTCCTTTCTTCCTAAACCCTAGCTCACTCATGGGCACTTCATTAGGGGGGTGTCCGGATGGAGGGAGGCCACAGCATTCTAGGGTCCTTGTTATTCCTGTGAAGTGCCAGGGCGATGCTGATTGCAGTTAGACATTGACAGCTCTCTTTTGAATCCATCAGGGACTATCCCTCTAGAAAACACAGAATCCCTCAACCCCTGTGGCACAAGGGAATTAGCAGTTGGCCATACTAATTTAACTGGGCTACCCTGACACTTTATCAATTGCTGTCCACCAGGTAGGGCCTTCATTCCTCACATTCTTCAACTATCTGTGCCAGGGTCTGAGGAAATACCACAGAGGGGTGCACTTCTGGTCCTCAGATAGCCATGTTGGTGCATCAGTGCTGGCTAAAAAGAGAAACAGAGGGCATTCCTGCACAGAAGCCCATCATGAATATGCTGTCATCCCTGAGGCCAGTCTACAAGGAATTTGTTAGTGTACATGGAATATGATAACTGAGTCATAGGTTTACACAGTAGACACTCTCATATTTATTTATTCACCTTTTAAGTATTGTAAACAGGCACTAATGGTTGTATATTCTGAACCTTACATATTAAAGAAATTGTGGGGCACATATTTTCCCAGAGCATTCATTCTCCCAAACCCTTATGCAGACTTGAAGACCATCTTTCCAATGTTCATACATTCTTCACAGCTTTTTTGCAAGAGCTGACTTTCCAATCTCAAAAACCTCATATTAGAATTTAACTTATTTTTTGAGAGAGAGAGAGAGTCTTTTTCTGTCACCCAGACTGGAGTGCAGTGGCTCACTGCAGCCTAAACCTCCTGGACTCAAGCAATCCTCCCACCTCAGCCTCCTGAGTAGCTGGGACTACAGATGTGTGCCACCATTTTTAGCTAATTTTTGTATTTTTTTGTAGAGATGGGGTTTTGTCATGTTACCCAGGCTGGTCTGGAACTCCTGGACTCAAACAGTCCTCCTGCCTCAACTTCCCAAAATGCTGGGATTACACGTGTGAACCACCACGCCTGGCCAGAATTTAACTTTTAAATTCTGTCAAAAGTATTTCTACTTTCTTATTTTCTTGTTAATATATATAAATATATGTGACATATGGTATATTGTTAATTTTTGCCAGTAAGAAGAATCAATCTTTAGGGTTTTTCTGTGTTACTGCTGCATTACCATGCTATAGAGAAAGGATTTCAGCGTGTTACTTAAAAGCCATAGCCAAACAGGAAGCCAGTTGAACAGGATTCCGTAGAGGCGAATTGTGCAGAATGGTGTACATTCAGTGCATACCGCTATGTACATTCACAGAAAACAGACTAGCAGGAAAAGTGTCATTCTCCTCTTGAAAGATCTTTCCTTTTTAGTAGCAACCTTGGGATTATGATCCTTTACTCTCTCCCTTGTGGTCATTGTTTTTATGAAGGCTTGTCACATGCTGTTCTGTGATTTAAATTTATGAGGACACTCCATTTGATTGAAAAATAATTGATTTTTCCATTATTATACAAAATGACCCTCTCACTTCCCCCATTGTGAAAAAGGATCTTCTTGAGAACTGTTTCTTCCTTGTTATGTTCAAATCAAGCTGGATCTGATTTTTATTGCTTTGGACAGATGCCAAAGTATCAGATGAAGTAGGGTAGTGCCTCTTATCTCTTTTAGTGGGTGGATGCCACTGTTTTGCTTAATGATCTGCCCAACAGAATTTTTTTTCCTCTGAATATTTTCAGCACCACATCCTACTGTGCCAGGCTTGAGGCATTTTCACATTTACACGTAGATCAATATCTCTACAGTCAACTAAAAAGTAAAACTGAAATGTAGTTTCTGCCTTCATTTGGAGTTTTTCTTATATTGCACCTTCTTCACACGAAGCTATGAAGACCAGACTTTATTATCCCTGCCTCTCTCACCCCAAACCTGGCATATACATAGCTCTAGTTGGTGAAACATCAACTCCAACCCATATTTGTCAAGTGCGTACTATGTGCAAGCACTGTGCTTGCAAGAAACACATCAGTGAATATAACAAAGGTCTTTTCTATATAAGACAGCTGCTGTTTTTGGCAAAGGTAAGAAGAGTCATCACACCCACCACTTTAATATTTTAATATAAACCTAACGTGAACACCTTTTTCATTTTAAACTTCTTATACTCAAAGAGCAAGTTAACAGATCTACTGGAGATAGTGTAAGGAATTGGTGAATAATAAACATAAAAGATCTCTCTCTTCTCCTTTACAGGACACCCTCAGTGGTTTGTTTCACCAAATGTCCAATCTATATTTAATAAGCCTCAGCAGTCATTTTTCTGAAGGCATTGGCCAGGTCCTCCTGGTGGCAGAGTTTGAAGAGCTATTGCAAGGTTTGAACTAGTGACATGGAAGAAAATACAACTAAAAATTAAATGATCTTAGAATAAAGAAGGTCTTATTAATTTCTAGTGTCAGAAATTATCAAGGAATAGAATGTACTTAACTGTGTAACACCTCAGAAATTCTTTCAATCAAAAGACACTCTGAACTATTCTAA